CGTGCCTCTATTTGATCGCGTTAGTCATTGTTCGGTACGTACTATTCAGACTTTTCACTTATTCGCCCGAACACCGAAAGAGATTTTTTTTCTATTTTCGGCCGAATAATTTCGGTTGCCGAATATTCAGTGCATCCCTAATTATAGCCTATATTTTTTATTCAGAATCGGACAAAAAAACGTCAAGAAGTTTCCATCACTGGGTAATACTGTCAGTCGTTTAACAATAGCATACAAAGGAAGCATGTATAAAGAAAATAGAACAGGACCCAAAATTGAGCCCTGTGGAACCCCATACAAAACTGGTGCACAAGATGATGAATATTTGCCAGTCTCTATCGAGAAGATTCGATCCTTTAAATAGGATATAAACCAATTTAAAACACGACCTTGAATCCCAATTTGCTGTAAGCGATTTAAAAGAATGCCATGATCGAGAGTGTCAAAGACTGTGTAGACTGGCATCACAATCTGATTCCGAAACCATTTCAAGTGCATCTCTGAACAAATATTCAGCAGCAATATAGATGTGCAGATCTTTGTTATTGAGTTTAATGGCTTTTGTTCTATGCAAATTGTGCAAAATAAGACTCAGAACGTGCATGAAGAAAGTGCACATTGCACTTTCACCTCATCTCATAATAAGGCCCGCATCAACTGCGTCCTAAATGGCACACAAACAGTGATCTCTTTATACTAGCGTAGATCGAGGCAGACATTGAGATCACAGGTGTGAGCGTTTTTTTTTTTTTACCAGGCCTCTCCTGAAACCATAAACCTCTATTGTGGGCTGTGGAGGACCGCTTGAACCTAAAAAACCTGTACGCCAGCGTCCTTTTCAATGTATTGTGCCTTGAGACAGTTAATGTGACGTTCTTAAACAAACAAATCTGTCCGTGTGCGTCTCTTTAGTGTAGAGAAGTCTGATTCATTGTAGCAAATCGGATTACACTACCGTTCAAACATTTGAAATCTTAAAGATTACATTTTTTTTTAAAGAAGCCTCTTATGCTCATCAAGGCTGCATTTATTTGATCAAAAGTATAGTAATGGTGTGAATTATTATTATAATTTAAGGGTGCTTTCACACCTGGCTCGTTGTTTCAGAACCTGGCGCGTTTCCCCCCTTAGCTCGGTTCGTTTGGGCATATGTGAACACGGCAATCGCGCCCGGATCCGCGCCAAAACAATGGGTCCGAGATCGCCTGAACGAGGTGGTCTCGGCTCGATTGAAA